GCTTAATCTTCTTATCAAATTGTGTTTCAATCATTTTGCAAAATGTCATAGTTATCCGTGGCACTTCATCTCGTCCTTTTAACAGGTAGATCCATGTGCATYRARAGTAGTGGTCAATAAAACTGATAAAGTAACGAAAGCCATCAATAGAAACAATAGGTGAAGGGCCCCAAACATCAGAATGAACCAAAATCAAAAGGAGCTCGAATTTCATTACTAGAAATTGGATAAATAGTTCTACATTGTTTTGACATTTGACATACTTCACAAACTAAACTCTGACTTGAAATGCCCTTAAACAATTCGAGAAACAACATTTCTAATGAAGAGAAAGGTATATGACCTAGCCTAACATGCCACAGATGCAACCTAGCTATTGACTCCACACTCTCCGGACTACTAGCAGTAAGGCTTGTAAGGCTGAACGGATGTTTGCATCAAAATAGTAGAGGCCTCCATACTCATGACCGCTCCCAATCGTTCTCCTCGTCAACCTATCCTGAAAGACACAATGAGTAGGAAAAAATGTTATACTACAGTTCAAATTATTGGTAAGTTTTGAAACAGACAAAAGATTTGAGGTGAGACTGGGAACATGTAGGACTGATTTAAGAGAGAGGTCCTTGCTTAGGTCAACCACCCCTTTTCCAGAGATGGTGAAGAAAGACCCGCCAATAACTCTCATCTTATCCTGACCAGACAACAATTGATATGAAGAGAATAAGGAGGACATACATGTCATGTGGTCAGTTGCATCGGAATCAATAACCCAAGAAGTAGAGTCAATAGAACTAGTTGCACTAAAGGCAGAGACTATACCTGATCTGGCAAGAGARGAGKRAGCAAAAGAATTWCTCCTTAGACGGGCTAAAGCCCGGCTAAGGACCTCTACCTCACTAGCAGTGAAGCCCAAGGCATCGGCTCCAGAGGAATCAGCAACCTGCCCCATGGGAGAAGAAGTCACTATTGGTATACTCTGTGAGTTGTCACCATTGTTACTAGTGACAAGGTTCCCACTTGCCGCATGACTCTTCTGTTGCTTCTTGTCCTTTCTCAATGCAGTTGGCTTCAAGTGTGGATACAGGACCCAACACTTTTCTTTCACATGTCTCTCACCCCCACAATGAGTGCACTTAAGATGCTTCTTTTCTGGATGTMTGTTTCCCTTRGTAGAAATCAGGGCTGAATGGTCTCCAAGTTGTTCAGCTAGTTGAATCTAAGAGTCAACTTGCATCTCCTTTCTCCTCACTTCTTCATTCCTTACCAGATAATAAACATGGTGTAACTCGGGCAGTTCATCTCTTCCTAGAATTTGTGACCTTATGCCCTCATACACTAGGTCCAGGCTAGCCAAGAACTTAAAGGCTCTGCTCTCTTCAACCTGCTTATCATGTCTCTCCTTGTCCCTGGCATTTTCCCATACCAAAATCAAGTGATGGTCAAGTTCTTCCCAAAGTCCTTTCAGAGTTGTAAAGTATGTTGCAACTGTCATATCCCCTTGCCTTAAGGCAGCAATGTCTTGATTCAATATGTAGATTCTAGCATTATTTTTCCTCTGTCCATAGGTTTTAGACACTTTTTCCCAAATCTTGGCTACTGTGGGAAAGTGTTGAACAGTCCTAGCAACTCGTGGAGTCATAGAGGCAAGCAACCAGGACATAACTGTGGCATTCTCCTTGCGCCACACTGCATACTCCGTACTGCCAACTCCAGGTTCCTTCTTATTCCCATCTAAGTAGCCCGTGAGGTCACGGGAAGTAATAAAAAGCATTGCAGAAACTGACCACTCCCTGAAGTTGTATTCATCCAGCAGCACACTTGTAATCTGCAAGYTGTGCAGATTCGGGTTTTCCAGGTTTGAAGACCTCCCACCAGGTCTGTTATCTCTAGAAGAGACTTCTCCTGATACTGAAGACATCTTGGCTGCAGACACTGTGTAGACAACACTGTTGAGACTAGTCGAAGTGATAACAGTGCTGAAAAGAGACTAGTTGCAGTATTGAAGAAGGTTTTGATAGCCCACAACACTGTTTCAGACTTGCCGAGACTGACACAGCTCTGAAGTAGTTCAGTAACAGCAGCAAATTAGGTGTATTGTGAGCAAGAAACTGACCTGAAACTGAGAGCTCACACCACTGCACTATGCAAACTTCTCTTAAGCTTCGATTACTGCAACTGTAGAGAGTGTTCCTCCCTCTACAGCCAATACTAGGACTGCAGAAATCAGTCCTCAAACTAGGTCTGTCCTATACAGACCTCTCTTGGCAGCCGAATAGCTACTAACTACTAGAAACAGTCTAGTAGGACATCAACTTCTGGGTCTTCTTCCCTTGCGCCCTACAACCAAGGGAAACCCTAGGTTCGAACCTTGTAGTGTTCTCCTGCAACCCTAGGGTTTCACCGCAGCAACCAAGATAAAACAAAGAAAGAAAGACAGCAAGAGAGAAGAGATGGCGTCTGTTGCAACCAGGAAAGTGCTCAATGCTCTGATACCATGAAAGTTGAAATGTTGCAGTCGAAGAAGTAGAAGAGAGAAGAAGACCAAGAGGTGCTGATAATGTTGAACTTAATAACCCAGTCGACAATACTATTATTTATATTAGACTATAGTACAATGTTACAGGAAATGTCTGGAATGCCCCTGATTAGTGATGGGACACCCAGACTACTTAAAATAACAAATAAACTTAGGCCCATTAACACAGGCCCAATACATAACAACTTAAACACAATTACAGACTAATAAGAACACTTATCAGTCGAACCATCAATACATAAAACCCCTCAACCTAACAAATGTCACTCAGTCTGGGAGTTTAATTTCAATCCAAGATGCACACTTTTTGCACATGTTAGAAGACCAACTACCAACTACCAAAAGGCAATAAACTGCTCAAATACAGTAAGGTAATTTGAAAAGTAAAATGTATATCCTCCTTTTTTATACAACAAAACATAGGCTGAAGTTTTTGTTCTTAATCTTCCATTGTTTTCTACCAATCTAACTTAACTAAATGATGATACAAAAGGCATTTAAGGTTATTTTTATTAATAAATAGAAAGAATCTAAGGTTATTCCAATAGAGAATTTGAGAATGTCCAAAAGTTGAATTTTTCCATGAATGAAAACAAACATGCAATACAACAAGCAAAAGGCACATAGTTTTATGAGAATTAGATAAAATTAAAAGAGAGAGAGAGAGAGAGAAACAAAACACTCAATATTGACATTAACAGAAGAAACACGGCTTAGATTAGGAAAATCTAGTATTTTCTAAGGTCATCAATGATAGATAATGGAAAAAAAAAATCAATCTTTACTTCAAGGAGACAATCAACAACATAATTTGTCAACAAAAAGCACTAATCTACAAGATACTCACCCCGAAATAAGAAAAACTAAAAAGAAACTTTGCTGCCTCCTCCATGAAATTTTCATCCAAAATGCTTAGCCATGACCATTAGGAATAGAAAATCAAAAGAAGGATGACAAGTCCACCCCATATTCTGGAGCACTTCTGTTCTTCAATATTTCTTCCAACCCCTGACGTGCATGCTTATACACATCTAATAAAAATAAAAAAGCTTTTTTGTCCTCTGCAGCACGTGCTGATGCCTCTCCACATACTCTCTGTAACTCTTTAAACATCATGGAGTATCCAACATTAGGCTCAAGTTCAATTGCACAACCACGATAATCAATTAGAGGTCCATATTTTGCATATCTTGTCCATCTCTTTAAGATGTATTGTGGTGGGAGTAGTTTCACTTGTCTTTCTAAAAGAATATATAATGCATGAGAACAAACAATTCCCACAAACTCAAACTTCTTACAACTGCATACAATTGCTAGATTTGATGAGTCAAACGTAACAACATGTTCATAAGGTCTATTGCAATATTTCACTCTATACTTAATTGTTGTTCCAGCCTCAACCTTACTTAAAATAACAGAATCAAGAGCTTCTGAATATTCCTTTTCAAACACCTTATAGACTGTTGGTGTGTATATAGATGCAACCTGCTTCAACATCTGAATTGGGAAAGGCAAATGGGAGACACTTTGGCTCATTTTGATATCCATTTCCAATTCTTTTAAACGACAATTTGCTACAGCCTTTTCAAATTGCTTAAAAATTTGAGATAAAGTAGAGGCCAATTTCAAGTATCCTCTCCATGAATTATCAATGTTCTCACTCCTTTGTGTGCTTTTCATATCAGCACAAAATTGATTCCGTCCATATGGTAGGGCCCACTTCTTTTTCACTTCAAATAATCCTTGCAACCAAATATTTTCTTTTAGATCATATTTTATAAGCAACTCGTTCCATGCTGCAAAAAAACCTTCCTCTTCCTCACATTCATATATGCATCTACTAAAGTCTTTCTCGAAAGAAGAAGAAGAAGAAAAAATAGTTGCCAAACGCTTAATTGCATTTTGATGTATGTGCCATATACAAAAACGATGACCTGCTTCTGGAAAAATCTGTTTGATTACATTTGTTATTGCTGCATCTTGGTCAGTAAGAACTGTCTTTGGTTGTTTTCCAGACATTGCCTTCAAAAAGGATTGAAAAACCCACTTAAAGGAGTTGATAGTCTCATCATATAATAGTGCAGCTCCAAAAATTACAGTTTGCTTATGATGGTTAACTCCAAGAAAAAGTGCAAATAGTGGTTCCTCATCATTTGTTCTAAAGGTAGTATCAAAACAAACAACATCACCAAAACAATTGTAGTCAACCACCATCCTTGCATCTGCCCAAAAGATGTTAGTTATTTGATCTGTTGCATCAAGTTGTATTGAATGGAAGGATGACCTACTCTCTTCTTGCATTTTCTCAAAGTATTTCAATATAACTCCTGCACCTCCTTTTTCCATTTCCCTCTTCCTTTTTGCATCCAAATAGTTATTATAGTCACCATGAGAAAACTCAAGATTTTGAAGTCTTTCAACTTGTTCACCTCCTACTGACATTCCCCTCTTCCTCTTTGCTAACAAATAATTGTTATAATCAGCATGAGTGAGCCCAAGATTCTGAAATTCCCCAGCTTGTTTATTCACAGATTCTAAGGTTGGTTTTGGCAATATCAATTTAGGTTTTGGATGTATTCCTGGACTATTGGAAAGCTTGGAATGAGTGGCATCTGCTACTGTTACTTTTCCCTGTGTCCTTAGCATGTGTGATATTCTTGGGTTTAGAACAGGATGATTGTGGGTTCCTTCAAATTTGGACACACAATATTTTCCATTATCTTGCAACACAATGGTTAATTGTGCTTCACAACCAGTTCTTCTATTGTCACGACGATATTTCACATGAATTCGTCGTTTATCAAAGGCACGATGGCCTTCAAAAGAACAAACAAATAATCTATTTTTGAAAACACCAGATTTGGATTTGTTTCCCCCCTGTATTCGGACACTAAAACCCACATTTTTAGCATATTCACAATAGAAATGATATGCATCACTCCATGTTTCAAATATCATCCCTACTTTTGGTTCCCAATCTTTCTGGCCTACTTTTTCTATAGGAGCATTTGACTGTGAGGCATTGCACGAGTCAAGTCTACGTGCAGATGTGCATTCCATCTCTGTACCCTCTTCAGTTTGACTGTTTGATATAACATGATCTTCACCACTCATTTTAAGAAGAAATGGTTCTATTCCTGAAAAGAAAAGAAATAAATAATTATTCCCCTATTAACTAGAATAATTTCTTTACCAGAAAATTATGTACATAGATTTTAATAAAATGCACTTTCTACATCTGGGCCTACAGTAGGAGAAAATGAAATAACAATAATGCACAGGAACATGATTTTTAATGCAAATAATACCACAAAATACAACAGCAAAAACACCCCAGGAAAACCCAAGAGAACATAAACCAGTAAAGGAACCAAGACTGCAACACTTTTATTTCTCTTATTTCTTATTTATATTTTCTCTTGCTTCATATTTCTTCTCAGATCTATCTTTATCTTTCTAATTTTTCCTTCTTATGTCTGAGCGCTACCAGGTGCCACAGCTTGGTGTAATGGTTAAAATGTGGTCAAATGTCTAAGAGTAGCCATATTGATACTACAACAAAAATAACAAGGATCACAAACAACCGTGCAACAAAGTTGGTAGAAAGCCTTCTCTCATGATAACTTCCCCAACATTTAATTGAACTAATCAACATCCATGTACCATATCAATTGCGGGCTCCAGCTTCTACCCATTTAAGAAAACAAGAAACTCCCATCAACCAGTCAGGTGAAGTAACCAGAAAAATCACACTGTTCAATACTAAGTAACTATACCCCGAAAATCAGCCAAACCAGGTTACCTCCCATACTGAATATTATCAAAATAGTTCCTATCTGCAAAGTTAATTAATCAACAATGGGATTATTTTCCTTGACTCGTTCAGACCCAATTCACCAAATGTAGTAAAACCCATTATATTATCCTCTCTAATGCTTACTAATGCCTGACCTCTACCAATTGCAACCAAAGTGTGATTATTACTTCCAATTTCCTTTCTTTCTTTCTGGATTGGCAAAATCCTACTACTTCAGTTGAACTAGACAAAATTACCCACTTCTTCAACAATACAAACGCCAATCACTCAAACCCAAAGCCACCAATCAAGCCCAAAGTAAAGACGAAAAGAGAAGAACACAAAACCCAAAAAAAAATAAAAATAAACTGACGCGCTCTGAGACTGGAAAGTCGACGATCCTCGTTTTCTTTTTTGCTAAAACGACAACCCTCGTCAGGTCTCGTCTCTACACAACCAGAAAAGAAACATTCCTGCTCTCAGCCTACAGCAAGAGAGGAGAGAAAGGGAGAGGAGCTAGTCAGGACTATCACTAAAAGAAGAAAGAAAGGGAAAAAATAAAACAAAACAAAGAGGCGAGTTTTCTTACCTTCACAGCGATTTGGAAAAAGAATCAATCGACTCTCTGCTAAATCGATGTGATGCAGAGTAAGCTAAAACCCTTCCTACCTCTTCAGCTCTCTCCTTCTCGCTCGGTTCTTCAGCTCTCGTCTCTCCCGATACCACTTTTTCGCTCCTTTACCTTTGTTAGAGGAGCGTAGACTATCGACCGGCTAGTAAAAGGCCACGTCGCCCACTTTCGTGTGAAGTTCAAGATTCTCTTAAATAAGGGCGACGTGGCCCAACCGTTAACTGCCAAATTGTCAATCGCAGCCTTCCTCGTCTTTAATAAAGGCGCGAAAAGTTTCTCTCCCTTTTCGTACCTGCAACAGTTTTCTGCTGTAAAATTTAACTTTCTTTTCAGGTCCGCGATTAAGACAGATGAGTCCGAGACTTGGCCTGTTCCAGATTCGTTCGTCGTAGCTTTGGCTACAACAATAATGGTCCCAACCGTTTAAACTGCCGTGGGCGGTCGAACATGGCTGCAACTGAGGGAGAGAATCAGAGGGAAAAGAATGGCTCGAGCACTTCGCTAATAGCCACTTCCCATGGGCTACGGCCGCGTCGCTTGCTCAGTTGATCATTTGCTTCGTAAAGGAGGGAACCCTTTTTCTCCTTCAAAGTTCAAAGTTCAAACATTCTCTCTTTTCCCACTTCAGAACCCTCAAAGGTATCAATGACCATGGCCTTCCCTTCTTCCCTGGTTTGTTTTATTCGTTTCTTCGAAATATTGTTATTGTGTCTTTGTCGGTGATGGAGGGTGATTTGGCCCGACTTCGTAGCACGGGGGCGTGACCTTGCTCAAGCGATGACTCAGCGTGACAACAAAACAGGCACAGTCGCAACTCTGTGGGAAAGTCACACCGAGTTTAATCCGGTAACTCGGCGGGATAAACTACTCGTCGTGAGCCGCCTAGCCCGCGTCTCCTCCCCGGGGCTAAGGCACCCAGAGCTGCCTCCGAGCTCGGGGCCCCCTGACCTCTCCTAATAACCGAGCCCCACCAGTGGATCTCAGGCCACTCCCAGAAAGGAACACACCGACCCGCCTCTAGATGCCCCGAGGGGAAGACACCTCGAGTCAGACAGCTCGACATAGCTTGCCACAGGCAGCCCGTCGCTTACGGGATAGCCCGGCACAGGGTAACTCGTGAAAGAGTAGTTCGGCATATCACAGGAAGATCTCCTGCCCGACCACCGTACCCGACAAATCTGGGGTCAGCAGCCATGTCCCTCATCAGACAGCGTCGTGCCTGCCACCTTTAGAGGGTGCCTTACACCTGACAGGCACGTACCCTGCAATGACGGCCCCGCGCGTGCCACCTCAGCCCTGCCTGTAATGGCTACGATAGGATGATAGTGATGGTTATACCTGTCCTGTCAGAGGCCAGTGAGCCTGGTGCAACGGAATTCTCTTATAAGGAGCCTATTCTCAAAGAACGAGGTATCTTCTATCACTCRCGCTATATGCACTCTTAGCCATCACCTTCTCCTTGCTTCTTCCATAGAATACTAACTTAAGTGTTGGAGTGTTCCCATTGAGCAAGCCCCCGGGGATTCTTCTTCTTCATCTCAAGTACCCTTCGGAAGCCACGCGAGYGCCAACTAGGAGTGACCGGATTGCGCACCATCATTTGGCATCGTCTGTGGGAATCGCTTCTAAAAGCCTTCCTCTAAACCTTCACAATTCTTTCTTCTCTGAAAACTCAGTACTCATGGCTTCCTCAAGCAATATCGGATGCAGCATGGAGATGGATAACGCCAGGG